GAAACTTGAGCGTCAATACGACTCGGTAAGTGTGACTAAAGATACTTTCTCTAGTATACAGCTATTCCAAAAAAACGYCTGAGAGAACGACGAATGGCGAAGCGAATGGCGATTATCGACGGGAGATCGCACGACCGAAAGGGAMTATGGTTACACTGTTTTGATAAACAACATTTCACTTATTGGATTCACCTTACATAGAAATGAAGACTAAATCGAGCCAATTTTTACCACGTACAATCTTACAGTACAAATCAGTTGTTATTGCCTTTCAACTAGCAAAACACATGCCTACTTTCGGTCATGCAATTGCCTTTCGACCACTGACATTCGTCATTTTATGCGACAACCTTTTTTGAAACAGCTATATGCACTTGACTGCAATTGTCGCATGCAATCTTTGCATATGCGTGCAAGATGAATTGCGCAAGCAGAACCGTATAACCTACTCCACATACTTGGGGCTGAAGAAGAGAGTCGTGGCTTGATAAGCATGAGATTATGGATTTTATTTATGGATTTAGTTTGTTGGTGAAAATTCAGAGATRAAATACAAAAAGAGTTTTTGGCTGWTGTTGCGATGAGAGCGCGCGCGCGTTAAAAAAATCGATTGCATATATTTCAACTGTTTTCACAATTTTTTCAAAGTTCAAGGTCCATGACGACTATTTTGAAAACGCCAAAGAAATGAATCACTTTCTAAGAATGAGGAACGTGATGACTTATGGGAAACCTGTCGATAAAAACTCGTGAGTATGACCCAGAATCGTTCCCACAGTGCCTTTCGRCGTGGTTTTCGTACACTTTTGYGTTGGAATCACTGTTTTGAGTAAAGAGTACAATTATGAAAGCTAAAGTAACAAATATAATTGTTAACAGAAGTTTTAAGTACGCTTATTATTATAATTGACAGAGAGAGGCTGTTTAAGGAGGCTCGAAACGATTACCAGAAAATGCATATATGCCTTCTTTGAATTGAGTTTATATGATATTGTATTTTACAACTATGTATATATCATTTTAAAGTTAACGAGTTGCGAGTAGGCAAACACCTACTCGTAACTCGTAACTCTAAAACAATATAATTTACGACTAAGGAGTTACGAGTCGTTTGTTTTGACATCCAAAGATGATGATGATGAAGATGAAAATAATTCTAATGTTTTTTCAGTTGGCCTATAAGTCCAGCAGAAGTTAACGGATTTTACATTCCCTTGCAGAATAGAATAGGTATGATTTATCCAGTTGTTCTGTTTGATTGTTTTTGTTTTCTTTTTTATTTTGTAATTTGTTGTTTTTTGTTGTTTTTTGTTATGTATTGTTGCTAATGCTGTTTCCATAAAATGACCAAATATTTGTGTTTTTGCTGGGGGTTTAGTCTATCTCGCAGGGATTATTCAGCCGCCATTGTTCAATCCTCGTTCACCAAGGTAACCATTATCAACGTCATTGTGTCGTCATAGTTCTCAATTCTAGCGTCATCGTTTACGTCATAGAATTTCGTCATCAGAATCATCACAACGTCATCGTTAGCGTGATCGTAATATTTATGAATGTTGTCGTATAATCATTGCTAACGTCATCGTTGGGGTTATCGTAATCATCCTCCTTGTTGTCGTCATTGATCATTGATCGTAACATCGTGTCGTCATCGTTGATGTCATTGTTATCATGACCATCGTCATATTTGATTTTTATCAGCATCATAATTGCAATATATCAATAAACATTATTGCTTTCTACTTGATAATATTTTCATGGCTACTTTTGTTCATCATCATCATCATCATCATATCTCTTCGTGGCAGTAGTCGCATAAGGCCTTCACCCCTCCTTCCCAGCCATCTCTATCTCTTGCTGTCATTTTAGCTTCATTCCAAGTCTTCCATCCTGCGTTGTCCCTTCCTTTCAGTACTGTTCTTCTCCAAGTAGTATTTGGTCTTCCTCTTGCTCTTCTTCCTTCCGGTGTCCATTCAAGAGCTATCAAACAGTCACTTTCACTTTCCCCTGTTAGGATAGACCTCATTCAGTTCCTCCTTCTACGTCCACTTCTGCCATTTCTCTGAAACTCTCACTTGAGATCTTCTCCGCCATCTAATCCTCATCATATATCTCCGACTTTTGCTTTGAAAAGTATTCAGCTTCTTTTCATCTTCTTTATTGATTTTNCATCGTAGTCATTACCATCGTAATCATTGCTAACGTCATCGTTGGCGTTATCGTAATCATCCTCCTTGTTGTCGTTAGTGATCATTGATCGTAACATCGTGTCCTCATCGTTGATGTCATTGTTATCATGACCATCGTCATATTTGATTTTTATCAGCATCATAATTACAATAAATTAATGAACATTATTGCTTTCTACTTGATAATATTTTCATGGCTACTTTTGTTCATCATCATCATCATCATCATATCTCTTCGTGGCAGTAGTCGCATAATACCTTCACCCCTCCTTCCCAGTCATCTCTATCTCTTGTTGTCGTTTTGGCTCCATTCCAAGTCTTCCATCCTGCGTTGTTCCTTTCTTTCAGCACCGTTCTTCTCCAAGTAGTCTTTGGTCTTCCTCTTGCTCTTCTTCCTTCTGGTGTCCATTCTAGAGCTATCAAACAGTCATTTTCACCTTTCCCTCCTCCTAGGATATACCCCATCCAGTTCCTCCTTCTACGTCTACTTCTGCCATTTCTCTGAAACTCTCACTTGAGATCTTCTCCGCCATCTAATCCTCAACATATACACCCTTTTAATAAGTCCCGAGGTTTTGTGTTCTCCGCACTTGACGTCAAATGTATTCTTTTGAAATTTTTACAATACAAAAGGAATTCAAAAGAATAAATTTGACGTCAAGTGCGGAGAACACAAAATCTCGGGACTTATTAAAAGGGTGTATATCTCCGACTTTTGCTTTGAAAAGTATTCAGCTTCTTTTCATCTTCTTTATTGATTTTACTGACAAGTCTCGCAACCATATAGTAAAATAGGTTGAACCTTTCAATAGTATCGTACTAGTGCACCAAGGTCATTATCTCTATGTTTTGTTCTTGTCAGCTACCTCAATTATGGTGGAATCGGATCAGTTATTGGACACGAGCTCACACACGGATTCGACGCGTCAGGTTTTTAACTTATGACATTGTTATATGTTGCACTGGGGGGAGAGGGAGGGGGAGTTTCTGCAACCCAGGGTTCGTACGGGTTTTGGAAAGTTTTGGAAATCTACATTCCTTTTTCCAGGACCTGGAAAGTTTTGGAAAAACTATCTTTTGAACATCAGGCTATGGAAATGTTTGGATTTTTTCGAGGCATCTAACTTTTGAAAGAAAGTTTATTATGTTATCGTATTGTTTATCACATCAATCAATATCGTCATAGCGTTTAACGCATTATTTGGTGTTGAATCATATCTTTTCTGTCCTCAAATGTTATCGTATCGTTTATCATATCATACAATATCGCCATAGCGTTTAACGCATTATTTGGTGTYGTATCATATCCTTTCTGTCCTCATATGTTATCGTATCGTTTATTACATCATACAATATCGTCATAGCGTTTAACGCATTGTTTGGCGTTGTATCATATCTTTTCTGTCCTCATATGTTATCGTATCGTTTATCACATCATATAATATCGTCATAGCGTTTAACGCATTGTTTGGTGTTGTATCATATCTTTTCTGTCCTCATATGTTATCGTATCGTTTATTACATCATACAATGTCGTCATAGCGTTTAACGCATTTTATTTGGTGTTGTTATGTCATATCTTTTCTGCCTTCATATGTTATCGTATCGTTTGTGTATGCTTAGGTCGCTTGTATGACAAGAATGGTAACATGAAGGACTGGTGGTCGTATGAAGCCGATAWWAACTTCAWWAGAAAGTCGTCTTGTTTGGTAGATCAATATAACAAATACAAGTTGTTTGATAAACAGGTATTTGAGGATTTGAATGGACTTAATCAGTAGAAAATGATGTTTAAAAAACTATAAATTGTGATACATCGGACAGATTTTGGGGCTTTGGCGCGATTTTTCGAAAGTATTATAAACTTAAGGCCTATATATCTGGTGGTGCAGTGAAACTAGTTTACAGTACTTTAACATTACTTAAAATGTGATTCCTTGGTTTGCGGGCCTATGGCTGGGTTTACGAACGGGTGGATAAAGTTATCCTTTCCTTAGATTTTGTGCGGGATTTTATCTGCTGGATACTGTATCGCTATTTGCCCTTCGTACAACTGACGCCTGTCCTACTTATCATTTATTCATTCATTTAATTCTCCCATTCATTCATTCATTAATCATTAATCTTGTCATCTTTATTGACAGGTCAACGGTAAAAAGACACTTAACGAGAACATTGCTGACGATGGTGGTATCAAAATAGCATATGACGTAAGTAAACCATAATGGAGCACTGAAATAATATCCCTCGGAAGAGAGAGATACACCGGAAAATAATTTGTGGATTGATCAACGTCATAAAAGACGAAACTAGTTTTCCACTGAAAAAGGCCCCGTACATCCCTTGGTCACTGGTCACATGGTGCAAAGTCCGTCATACTGGACTCTGGATGGCAATTAAGAACGTGCATGGCTATACATGGTACAAAATCCGTCATACTGGACTCTGGATTGCAATTAAGAGCGTGCATGGCTATAAAAACAACCCGAGTCAACCAGGGAGAGATAATTTTGATTTTGAGGTTGTTCACTCTTCACCTTAAAGCAAATAACTTTTTTATCCTTTCATGGTTTTCGAAAGATTATCTTAATAGCCACATGCAGCGTACTAATCTGCCATCCTGTATATGGAGGATTTTTGTATCGTGTGACCAATTGATACAAAAGGCCTATTAAGTTAGACCGTTTTGTCGTTCGTACGAAAGATAGATGTACTAAAGATTTAAAGTTAAGGATTTGTACACCTAAAATAACCAATCAAACGCGATTTGAAACAAAGATTCTGATTTATTGGACCTCGAGGTAGAATGGACTTGCGTATATTTTTTTATTATTAAAATAGACAAAATATTATGACATATACACTAGCTTTTTGCTAAATGATAAGGTGAAATATTCACTAATCACAAACATTCATTTCTTTCACACAATGCTTTGTGTTTGATTTAGCTTTTTTGTTAAAATACAGGCTTATCAAAAATGGATTGCAAAGAACAAAAAGGAAGAATCTCTTCCTGGACTGAATCTCAACCCAGACCAGCTGTTTTTTGTAGGATTTGCTCAAGTGAGTTTATAAACAAAAGGTCGTCATGTTGACGTTTTCTGCTACTTGCTTCGTTCGTCAGAATTGTGTGTTTTAGTTAGTTTTTGGTCTTTGTGTTACGTATTTTAATTGCGTTTCCGTATCTCTTCAAAGTACGTCACATTACCTTTTAATATTATTGTGTTACGTTTCATTGCATTTCTAATATACCTTTCCGTTTTTGAAGTGTTTTACTGTTAATGGATTTGCTTTAAATCTGTTACCTGTTACTTTTCATTTGCAATACCGTTGTATTGTGTTGTTTTTCCATGCCTGTTTTTCAATCAGTGCAGGTATGTGTTCACGATTTCCCAACCCCCACTGCCATCACAATCACCATCACCACACAACCCCTCCCCCGTTTTGTTTTTTGTTTTTTGTTGTTTTTTTTTCGTTACACGTCTACCCCCTCATATTATATTAAATTTACATCTGTACGTTTTTGTAGCTTTGGTGCAGCGTCTACAACAGAAAAGGTGCACACAGGGAGATTCTCAAGGACGTCCACACTCCAGGAAAATACAGGTACTACACAGTGACAGCAATAGAAACTAGCAGTGCGTTACACTAAAGGTTATCTTTGAGTTTTATAACCTGTCTTCCGGGAACAAAACGTTTTAAAGTTGTGATTTATTTTGAACAATTCCTTTATCAAAACCCGGTTTAGTGCCGAGTGTTCAAATACAGTGAATGTTTTCCATCTTTTGATAATTAAAATTATTGCAATTTATTACCAGGCGGAACTAATAAGTAGGAGTACAACAAGAAGAGTAACAACAACAACAGAAGCAACAACAACAACAACAACAACAACACGAACAAGAACAACAATTATAACAACAGAAACAATAACAACAGCAACAACAACAAAAATAATAACAACAACAGCAACAACAACAAAAACAACAGACAACACCAGCAAGTCAATCATAATTATTTCACGTTTCCATGTTTTCTTTCAGGGTGATTGGTTCATTGTCAAACTTTGACAAGTTCTCCAAAGCGTTCAAATGTCCTGTGGGCAGTCCAATGAATCCAAGCACAAAGTGCTCTGTCTGGTAACATTCAACTCATCTTCCAAACAGCCTGACTAATCTGTCTGGAGTTGATACCATTCACTCACCACGATTAAGAGGAATGACGTCATTAAATGACGATCACCAACGATGGCTATATTTGGTATCCACGCAAAGGCTCTCGGGTGCATCCGGGTCTTCAAATATACATTTCACTATTTACTATTTGCAAACAWTTTTTTTTTACTTTTTTCAGGTCGTGTAATGTATTTAAACTCAGGTTTTTAAGTAATTTATACTTTTTTGTTAGTAGAAGTTGTATGTATTTCAATTTTAAAATAAACACTTTGGTAAATAAATGGATTTCTCCTGATGATTGTATTTATCTGAACGACATGTTGGAGGGGACGAGGGAGGTTCAACAACATCTATCTAGATTTCTTGCCATTTAAGTGACGTAAAACCCCTTGAAAGTATCCGCTGACCACTCTGTGTGCGTATTCTATGACGTCATACCCCAAGAGACACATTTAAAAGTAATTGATTTCAACTTAGCTCTCTCTTTTCACACAATCGCACCTCGGGTGATGAGCTCAGCGGAAAGACGACCCGTCTGTACGTAGACCACAGTCCTGTAAGTGATAGTAGCTGTTGTTATCTTTGCGCGTCCCACANCAGCAAGTCAATCATAATTATTTCACGTTTCCATGTTTTCTTTCAGGGTGATTGGTTCATTGTCAAACTTTGACAAGTTCTCCAAAGCGTTCAAATGTCCTGTGGGCAGTCCAATGAATCCAAGCACAAAGTGCTCTGTCTGGTAACATTCAACTCATCTTCCAAACAGCCTGACTAATCTGTCTGGAGTTGATACCATTCACTTACCACGAGTAAGAGGAATGACGTCATTAAATGACGATCACAACGATGGCTATATTTGGTATCCACGCAAAGGCTCTCGGGTGCATCCGGGTCTTCAAATATACATTTCACTATTTGCAAACAATTTTTTTACTTTTTTCAGGTCATGTGTAATGTATTTAAACTCAGGTTTTTATATATTTAAAAAAAATTTTTTAGTAGAAGTTGTATGTATTTCAATTTTAAAATAAACACTTTGGTAAATAAATGGATTTCCACTCTGTGTGCGTACTCTATGACGTCATACCCCAAGAGACTTATTTAAAAGTAATTGATTTCAACTTAGCTCTCTCTTTTCCCACAATCGCACCTCGGGTGATGAGCTCAGCGGAAAGACGACCATTCTGTACGTAGACCACAGTCCTGTAAGTGCTAGAAGCTGTTGTTATCTTTGCGCGTCCCACATACGTAATACGTAGGCTTGTGTGCGTCAAGCGAGCATCATTCATTTTGTAAGTGACCAGCTCTCGTCCGACCAGTTTTTCAAAAGCGACCACCTCCCTGTACCCAACCATTTATTTAAAAGGACCACTTTCAGTTTCTTGTAGCATAGCTGCAGTTGGGTTTTTTTTAAGTATTGGGTTTGCAGTTGCAGTCAAACGATAGTATGATAATTTGCATTAGGTTTATTGCTAGGGTTTGGGGCATTAGAGTGAGGGTTAGCGTTGCAGTTCACTGATAGAGTAATTTACATTAGGGTTAGTGCAAGGGTTTGGGGTTAACATTAGAGTTAGGGTTAGTGCTTCAGTTTACTGGTAGAGTAAATTGCATCAGGGTTAGTGCTAGGGTTTGGGGTTAACATTAGGGTTAGGTTTGTGTAAATGATTTTTTTTGTAAAGTATTTAGCATTAGGGTTAGTGTTAGGGTTTGGGGTTAGCAAACGGGTACTTACAGGGATTTCAGAGTGCCTCTAGCTTTTACTAATGAACTTCACGCTCGCTTTGAAAATTTCATTCATGCACGGACGTAGTGTTAATATTCATCAGGCGGGATTGTTTTGCGGGACTTCGKTTGACTTCGGGTACTCCTCGGGATACTAGTTCCCAGTCTTTTATCACGTGACCAGATRTCTCGTGCAACATGTGCTAAAAGCAAAACACGGAGGAAAGTGCTGAAAAATGCTTTCTTTTACACACTTCAAAGCTAAAAGAAAGCTAAAAATCACTCGAAGAGTAGATCTAAATGATTAATGAACATTTTGAGGCCTTAAAAAGGTAAGAAAATCGAAAAAATTGTATGTTATGAGGTAATTTTGCAGTGGCGTGAGTTTTGAATGTATTGTTTGTTGTTGTGATTCTATCCTCGTTAAAAAAGTCAAGTGATGAGCTACTTGTGGGCTGTATTTGTGGTTTTGCTGTTCTAATTGTAAATAMGTCTAATCCTGTTGAGTTCCTAATATGAAAGTTTTTGATACATGACTTTTAAATGGAAGGTACCAACATTTATTTCCGTTAATTTTCTGCTCTTTTATAAAAAATGTATCTGATAACCTATATGTTATACACAAAACAATTATTATAACGTTTCATTTATTTTTATAATACAGGCTTGCAAGAAGTATACATGTACATAATATTGTGTGCTAGACATGCAATTGTACAAAGAATACAGCACAACCTTCCATATGCACCACTGATATGCACAGTAAAACCATGTTAATAATGGCTGACCATGACATACCACAGTATGATGTGAATACTACAGTCAGCCAAGGGAACTATTGCAATGATATTCAGGTATGTATTATGTTATAAATGTACTTTAATATAAATCATTGTACAATAGTTACTGCAAAGGGACCACAAAGTACATTTCAACTATCACAAAAATCGCTTTACAAAGGAAATTAGGCAGATTTCAGCGGGAAAGCTGTGGACATGCGCAGTGTGTTTTTCACCAGTGTCTATGCAGACATTTTGTAACTAGTTTTCACATGCATAAAAAAGGTTGCATTTCAAACATAATTATTAAAGAGACTGCTTATTCCAAACTATCAACTAGTAAATAACTTATTCATCATTTCTTCTACAGCTTGACAGCAATCATGATACCATTGATGTGATATGTTAGTCTCACTAACACCATGTCAAGCTACAGCCATCAACCAAGTGGCAGACCTGTAAGTATAAACACAACATCTGATAACACTAATAGGCCATATACATTATGGCGTAACTTTACTACAACTACCAGAGAGCCTTGCGCATTTTCATTGTTATTCAGATTTTTAATCCCCTTGGAGATTAATAAAACA